AATCACTTCACAAGGTCCAGGTGGTGAAGAATTAAACAGAGGGGGTTGTCTTGCAGGCAAAAATCTCCAAATATAATTTCCTGGTAGCAAGAGGCTTTTGTATTCACTTCCTTAGGACAGGGCTTCTGTTCATTCAATGCCTCTCTCTGTACTTTTTCCAAAGTATGTTATCTAAACAGTTAGATCCATATTACATGTTCTTCTGTCTTGCTCCTCTATCTCAAATGAGTGGCATGTTGGTCCTGAAAGATAATCTGATATATCTGGGTTTTTTTAAAATGAGAAATTATATAATAAGTAGCTTAGAATAAATTTCGGTACTACTAGTAGTGCAATTCACACCCAAATCCCACATATCTGAATTTTAGGTTTGATAATGATTACACAACTTGATCTGAAGTGACCTTCATATACATCTAGATCCTGAGAAGTTATTTATAAGCCGAGTCTGTTTAAGGCACTATTACCCAAAACCTAGTTTTCCTACAAAGATCCTAGACTAATAATCCCATAAAAGCTTCTGCAGTCCAACCATATGGTGATCAGTGGTGGTCTTACTTTTAAATTTTTCTATTTCTCAATTAAAAAATATGTTTAGAAATTTCCTGTGGTCCTTTGAATAGACTCTTGGCTGGTTTACATGAGAAAAACACTGCTTTATATTTCATGTTGACATTTTTTCTTCCTTTCCTTTAATATTTTTTTTAACTTCTTCATTTACGATTTCTTTCCTAAGTGTGGAGAATACCAGCTCTGTTATGAATATTCCTACCTATTGTCTCTCTCCTTCCATTTCTGAATCCTTCTCACTTATCTGTTCAAACATTTGCACCTGTTCTGAGGGTAAGCAGGCACACAAATGCACACTGATAGCAATGATCTCAGCCTTGGCAGAAAAATGTCATTTTACGTTATTCTGTGAACACAACCAACCAATCCAGGAACAATCCAGCTTTGGCACACACAAACTGTAGGGACCAAACCAGCTGAAAAGTAGCCCTAGATCATTCCCTGGTATTTCCTTGATTATGTTACTCCCCTGTACTTAAGAAAGAGCACGAGTCTGTATCTACTAGAGCCTGCAGTGATGATTTTCATACTCAATGTAACCCACATGGCCTTCAGTGAACTAACACCTCAGAGAACACCCTGCCAAAAATCCCCTGACAAAGATGCTGCTCAGATATGGACCACAGTGGTGTATGAACACCACTGTCATGCAAAGTCCTCCTCAGGATGTGAGGAAGGGACTGTGAGTGTCACCCAAGAGTGACATTTCCACAGCGATGTCCAGTGAGTTAAGTGTAGAATTTTGGGAATGTGTACTCATCTCTCCCTTTTTTGATTCTCCTCCCATCCCATGGTTTCACATAGGCATCTTATAGCCTGTTAAATATAGGAAACAACCCTTTTGACCCATGTACCTGAAAATACAATTTTCAGTTTCATTGCTAGCATTCCATTCCTGAAATCTCTGTATTTATTATCATCAAATGGCTATCACTGCACATGACTTTTCATTTATTTCAAAGTTCAGTGTAAGAATGTTGAAACTGTTCATGCAGTTGCTGTATTGAATCTGGTTTTTGTATTTATCCACTGGAGTATGGGCTTTTGGATACTCTGTCTCCAGCTAGCTCTCCTTTAGGCTTCTTTACTCTCAGTAAGCCAGAGCCTAATATGTTACTACAGAGACATGATCCAGTGCAGATTGAAGGGCTCACGTGGTTAACCTGCTCAGAGACACTAATGGCTTGTTTAATATTTCATAGATATGTCAATTACAAATTCAGTTCATAGTTGAAAGGCTGCTTTGCACAGCACTACATCACTTCACATCTCCTGTAAGGTCTTTATGAGACTTGAAAGGCAAAGCTGCATCTGAGAACACATTAGGGTGCATACAGCAGGCATGCACTCTGTGTGGCAAAATTCCCATTCAGGAGGTTGACTCAAACACTGGCAAAATCAGTGGCTGTAACTCAGAGCAAATTCAGGTACAGAATCACTGAGTTTTCACAGGTAAGCTTTAAAAATTTCCTTTCACTTCAGAATTTTGTCTCTCCAGACAAGCCTTAAGTATTTTTCATGGCAAATAAAAATAAATATACAAAGTTTTGGTGCCTTGAATACGCAGCTCAAGGAGCAGGTGAGAACATGTCACAGCCCCAGTTTGCCCTTTGTGCACAGATTCATTTTGTTAACATTTGTTTCCTTGTGAGAATCAGGTAGAGAGAAAAAGAGTTGGGTGTGCCTGTGGCTCACTCCTCTAGGGACTATGGAAACACTCCTGTGAAACTGTGGCCAAACACTTGTTCCATTATTAAACTGACTGCTCTACTTTATATTTAAACATAAATTAAACCTCCCAGGGATCTCTGTTTCCGAACCACAGAAAGGAAAATCCCAGGGTCAACAGGCATTTCTGAGAACAGCCAATACAAAGACCAGGAAAGTCAATGGAATCACTTTGAATCAGATTTTGAGGTAGTTTTTCCCTGAATGAGGTCAGATTTCACAAGCTTGAGCAATTTTCTGTTGTTCCCTTTAATGTGATTCTCCTAGCACCTTCCCTTTGTTTCCTACTACCTCCATCCAAATAAACAAGCTCTGGCTGGCATCTCAGTTGTACTCATGGTTTAGTCCTTTCTTCCTTACTGTCAAATTGTTTGCTTCCCTTTCTGAAACTGCACCAAGGGCTATTTACCATTGTATTGTAATATAACTAAAGCATTTAACATATGCAGGAGGGAAAAAAAAGGTTGTATTAAAAAAAATTATGTATATATGTATACTGAGATATATTTGTATCTGCTCATTATTTAAACCTATGACTAAGACAAACATTTTTAATGGTCCAGTGGTCAATGTTAGAATGCCAATTCTTCGTCAAGTGGAGAGGGTCAGATGCCAAGAAGCAGCGAGCACTTTTGATGGTTATTGGTGTTGATAGTTGCTGCTAGTGCTCAGTACAGGCAATGACCTTTGTCAGGCTACACCACGGAATAAAACACGAATTTAAACCAGCCTGGAAACACTGTGTGCAACTTGCTTCTATCAATTTTTTAATCTGTCTCATCTCTTGCATTCTCTTAAACACACTGGAATACAGCTTTGGCCAGCAAGCCACAAAACATTCTGCTTTTCTCTTTTCAAGTAGAGAGGTTTAACCTTGTCTGTAGTATCTGTCCTTTCTCTGCACTACAGCATTTGTTCTACCCAAATGACCAATTCCTCCTTTCACAAGAAACACTTTGTTTAGAATTAACCCTGACTATCCTATCAGTTCTGTAGTAAGGAAGTAGAGATGTGAAGGGTCATTTATTCCAGTAATTCTGACAGGTAGCATAATGTCGTCTGCAAAGATGCAGAAGAGAGACACAAAAAACATGATGCTGCCTCACCAAAATGCCTCTCACAAACGACTTCTTATCCTGTGCAAAAGGAGCATCAGCTTTCAATCTGATTGTGCACACACAGAGACTTCTTTGTTATCATGTGTAAGAAGAGATATCTTCAGCTATGTATTTTGTCTGTTTTACTTGTGACAGTTTCAAAACGACAGGAAATACTTTCTTCATTCAGAAAAAGAGAATTTGAGATGTTGTACAAAAAGTAACAACAAACTGAAAATTTTGCAGAAGTCAACCTACTTTGTCACAACTGAAGAGGGCAACCTAATACCATCTCACTGTTCCTGAGTCCACTGTCCTATCCATAACCCCTAATCAAAGCACAGCACAGTACCTTGTCAACAAGGCTAAAGGACATGGAGAATTTATATCCAGAAATCATTTCAAAGCTAGGAGTGCCACACACAGCATTTTCCTTTTCTTTTTCCTTCTTCTGCATTTTTATTTCTGCTTAGATATGATCATAATCACTGAAGTACCCCTACTAGAGTTCTTTTAGTGGTGGTACCGGGAACTTGGTGGGGGGTTGGTTGCTTGCTTTTTAGAAAAGCAGGACAATTTGTATTCTTTTTACGATAACTTACCTCTGTTGAGCACTGGGAGAATAAGCAGGTGCAGATACTGAATTGCCACAAGAGCAGCAGAGGCATTTGTTGTCCTCAAACACCTCAAGCTCTTGGAAGATGTAGAGATAGCTTGAACAGTACAAAGGCAGAGATTCCCCACTCCACAGCAAATCACCGTGCCTGTTCTGCACTGTGTCCATGTGGTCTAACTGAATGAGAAAACAGCACTAACACAGTCTTCTCAAATTTAACATTCATTAAGAGATTTCCAAGACACATATTTTCAGGGGCTAATATATTTATTAGCTAATGTGAAAACACAAAACATCTTGGAGAAAATTATATTTTAACCAAGTAGGATTTATTTCAGTTGAATACTAAAGAATAGATTCCATGTATGGACACAGAATTGACTACAGAGCAGTACCTAAGAATGGCTTTCACCAGCAGACTGGAAGATAAAATCATGGCTAACTGCCAGAATTCAGAAATGCTGAACTCACAAAAGAGAGAATCACTCATATATTTATATAAGTGCTTATATAAGTTCTTATATATTTAGCACTGACATACTTCATTTTCCTGGAGTACTGAAGTAGTCCCAAATCCTATAAAAGTGCTGAGCAAGAAAGTAGGTAATACAGCAGATTTAACACACTGTCAATACTAATACAGCCCAACGGGGATATGAATGCAGTCTGATGGACACATGACACAGCAGAGGATGCAGGATCAGAGCTATTATTTCTACTCAGAACCTACCCAAGCAATATTTTGCTGGTGTAATATACACAACTCTTCATTCTTCATTTTGAACTGTGCTCATAAGTAACCTGTATAAAAATAAGTACCAGAAAAGTCTGCTAGAATGTTTTTAGCTTTAATTTCTCAACTATGATTTTAAAATTCTTACCTGATGAGCTTGGAAGATAATAAATTAGTCCCTGTTAGTACCAAAAAAAGACACATGTTCACTTCTAATAGAAACATTTATCAACTGTATTAGTCCTGCAAAAATAAGTCTGTTCAATTTCTTTTTTATTGCAGTTATGGTGCCAAGCAATAGGACAAGAGGCAATGGGCAGAAACTGATACACAGAAGTTCCACCTGAAGTAATTTTGTAATAAACCAGGGCATCTTTCTAATGTCATCAAAACTTCACATGCCACTTAGTGCTACATAAGCACCTTAGGAGCAATCCAAGCCCACTAAAACCAGAAGCAAGATTTATATCGGCAGAATTGAGATGAGTTTATTGCCCAATTGTCAGACAAGCAATGTAAAAACACATTTACCTTTTTGCCTTGTCATAGTCTTGCCTCTTTCAGTCTTGACATTGCCAAAAGTTTAAGCATTCAAGGACAGCTGGGTTTTATTTACTTATTCATTCATTTACTATGGTATATATTAATTTTTAATGGTATATCCATTTCTCTGAGCACATGAACTTTGTCTGTAAGACATTAAAGTCTGGGATCACATGGATTCTGCTGGAAATGACCTTTAGCTTAAGGTGGGCCTCCTCAAAAGAAAAACCACTCAAGAAAGACCTTCACCATGCTCTGAGTGAGGTAATCTGGCTGATGAGATGATAAAGCTGTTACAGATCCAGGCAGCCTCCATTAATAGATGAGAGACCACCTACAAGAATAAAGGTTTGCTGTGAAGACTTCACAGTCACAACCTCAGCTGACTGACCCCATTCCATAAAAATTATATTACATGGTGATGATACATCCTCAGAGGACAAATGAATATTTGGGGAAGAAAAAAAAAGCTGCTTACCAAACCTCCCCTCTCCTTTTCCTGGGAATTTATAAGAATACAATCCAAACTCAGCATCAACTCGAAACATGAGAAAATTCAATACAGAAATAAGTATTTGTGAAAAGCCCCAGGCAAGAATCCCAAACCAAATAATGCATGGAAAATCCACAAACAGGAAAGTGGTTCAAAGTACTTGAGCAGCTTTGAGGGGACAACTGTTATTCAAACAGATCGAGCAAGGAGTTTTAACTGGAGCCTAGCAAAGACTTAGTCTCTTGCAGGGATAATAAGCCTATATTCTAAAGAGAATGGACACCTTTTCTTTCTCAGTTCACCCCAAATTTTATCAGTCCACTTATTTACACACCAAACACGCCACAGCCAGAACGTAGAAGTTCATATAACAAAATTGTGATGTTCTTTCTCCCAAATAACTAAACCCAGCTGTCAGTTAAGATTAATAATACTTAATAAATATTTTATATGTGTGTAATAAAATTTCTGCATGCAGGCATTTAGAGATGAAGTTTCAGAATTGGATATAGGATGATAATAATCTACCTTTTTCTTGAATGCAGCCCAAATTCCAGGATTGCTGAATATCCACTGGCATACTTTATCTGAAAGAAATTGACTTCTAAAATTCTCAAGCTCATCCAGAAATTCCCAATAAAAGAGGCAGGCCTCCCCTGTCTGACATAACCATGTTGCAAATAGAAGGGGAGCTCAGCACAGTCCATGCTGGCTCTGCAATATGGGCACTTTGGCACTAAGTGTCTAAATCTGGAGCCTGAGGATGCAGCAGGTGCAGCCCCCTCAGCCAGGAGCAGCTGGACCCAGCGAGGCAGGGAATATTGCCCATTTTCTGAAGTATGGCTCATACACAGCAACTAAAAGCCACAGCTCCAGGTTGTATTGAAAGTAACATTTAGATTAGAGTGGAATAGTATTTCAGAAGTCTCAAATGTATGGTCCTTTGGCCACACTTTTATTTTCAAAGGCCTGTGGGGAGAGCAAGTGGTACAGACTCAGGAAGGATAAAGTATAGGAATCCCAAGCTATGAGGAAGACAAAAATGATTGCTTGAGGACACTGCTCCAATAAATAAATCTATAATACATTACCATGTGGCAATTAACAGCTGGGAAGCTACATCAAAAAATATTCTGCACTATCAAGGTTTTCTACTGAACAATCCCAAATCCACCTACTCATGCAGCATAGACTGGGAAGGCTTGGCATTTCACTCCTATTGCCTGATATTCAAAGTTACTCACTCAGTAATAGGGCAGACAATTATATCTCTTTAAAACAGCTGTAACAAAAGGAAACCCCTTTTGTTCTTTTTTCTTGGCGGGGGGCGGAGATGTGCCCTGCACTGCAACCACTGACTATGAACGAAGCCTAGGAATGGAGTAACTCTGCTAATGAGGCAATTAGCCTCTTCTAGCCCTGCTTCTGATGGCAGTTCCACTACTGAGCTTCTGAAGCAGGTGCTTTTTATCCCCAGCACTATAAACTGCTACAACCTACTACAGATGGATAGTGACAGTATGTCTTGGAGAGAACGGGAAAGCAGTGTAAACAATCTATTATCACTTAGGTCTCAAAGGATTGATTTAAACTTTACAAGACAAGAATTTGTATTTTATGTGCAAACTGGGCTTATCTTCTTGCTGTCTATATTATTTAACACACCATTAATATATATTCTCAGGTCTGTGAACAAGAAAAGTAAATATGGCAGCTGACCAGATATGCACTGGATTTTTATTAATTTAATCTTAGCTTCTCAGGCTTATCAAAAAGATATATGTATTTCAAGGATTTGATATTTTCAAACTTTACATAATACTCACACTCTCACAAATTCCTCTGACTTTTATATACACATAACCAATGAAAAACTACAGCAAAGGAAATTAAGATAAAAGTATTTGTGAGAGCTAACACATAAAACTTCACCTGCACCTCAGAAACAAATTAAATTATTTTTAAAACAAAAGTAAAAAATACTGTCCGAAATCTGTACTGTCATTTGCTCCCAAATACAAACATCAAATGACAGAATATGCAGAGCTTGTTTGATGCAGTTTTTTGCCCATTAATAACTCTACTCCCAACTAAGGAGCACTGGGACCATGCTTGCTCCCAGTTCTGCAGCATGCACTCTACCAGTGTACAGTCAAGTACAATTTTAGATATAGTGTTTATGTCTCACTTATAGGACTTCAAGAATAGAGAGCAATATGACAAACTTCTGGCATCTGAAGAACAAAGACTAGACTTTCTACTGAGAGGATATTTCTCATAAAAGATGCCCTGATCCTTGTTTTATAAAAAGGTTTATTTCTCAATAGAAAAGTATATTTTAAAACACATATTTTTAATTATTTGCTAACAGCAATATAAAACTCTACAGTTTTGACTTCATAAAAGTTTAACAAAACATAAATATTATCTACCACTTACATTCCTATATACAGACCTTCATTAGCTAGTTAAATATTTGAGAGACAGTAACTCAAAAATGACAGACAACTACAAGATTCAAATTCCATGTCACACTGCACAATCACAGTAACACAAGGAAGAGCTCAAAATCCTCAGTCACTGGATTCTGCTTTGTTCTCTTTATAGCTATGTTCCTCTTCTCTCTGCAATAATGCACCAGTTCCCATGGTCGTAGCAGGAAGAAAGTATCTGAAGCTCAGGCACATTCTCTTCTACCAGAGAACACAGCTCCCCTTCCCGAAAAACATGGTAATAACGCATGAAGGCCTTTGGATCCAACACGGCATCACTTTGGTCCCCAACAGACACTGCTGAATCCAAAGCTGAGTCCGTGGAGTCAGTTGTTGAGGTTCTTTTGAAAAGCCTGCTGGCATCAGACTTGCCAGAACCATCTTTATTACAGCCACAGATGCAGTCCCCATCTTCCACTGGGCCGTTTACAAATGAAGCTTTGTCCCCCTTGTTCTGAACTACACTTTGGTGTCCTCCATTTAAACTTAAATCTTTCAGTGCACCTGTGGCTGGTGACCACTGTGGTTTTTTGAGAGACAGGCTTTCCACAAACACATCATCATAATCATCTAAACTTTGTTCGTTTAACAGTGCCCCATGGTGACCTAAATCCAAACTGCAGTGCCGTGAGTGTTGAATTGGTATGGCAGTGTTTGCCCACACTCCTTCATGTTTCAGCTGCTTCATTTTGTCACTTTGCTTTCTCAGGGCTGATTCATCAAGAGATCTGGAGAAAAACCATGAGCGAAAAGATCTTCCAAGAGCACTGTAAAATCTGTTTTCTTCCTCAGAAATTTTCATGCAGCAGGCTCTGGGTAAGCAATGGTCCATAGTATTGGAATGTTTTGAATCAGTTTCTGGCTGCAGATTGTTTTGGTAGCTGCACTCAGAGATGACAAGCTGTGCAGGGTGTATGTCTTGGCTTTTTGCAGTAGGGACAAACTCACCCTTATCTCCAGACTGATTTGATTCTGAAAAATGGCGTGAGCACAAGGCCTTGTTCCATGGAACAAATACATCTTGTTTCTCAAAGCGACGATTCTTTTGTTCCATAGCCCAAACATAAATCATTATTTGGCCTCCAGGTGTCAATATTCTTGCCATTTCCTTTATTGCTTTGATTCTTCTTTGTTTAGTTGAGAAATGATGTATCACTGTGAAAAAAAGAAAGGTATTATTCATTGAATATTAGGACAAAACATTTCCATCTTCAGCCTGTTCTACATGTTCAATTATTTCAGTGCCTCATTCCAAATTATCACTTGCTGCAAGTCAGCAATAGTGCTGAATTTATAGGTACCACAACGGAAGTTTACCTCAGAATGCTCTTTTATGATTATGTTCAATGGACAAAACCAGGAAAATCCGGAAGAAAGAAATTAATCTCATCCCAAAACAGGGATTGAAGAAAAGTCAAGCATATAAACTGGAGGTTTCTGTTTCTCTGCATAACACATAATAACATGGCAAGATTTCACTTAAATGCCTGGCCTTTAGGTGAGTTAGGTAGTATCAAGTTGACTTTAGTATTTTGGCACAATTTTCAGACTAATCTTACTGAAAACCGAAAATCTTTTCACCATGTAACAAATACAACAAAATGTATCTTTTTACAGCAAATCCGTAAAAAGATACTTTGAACTTTTACATAAACACACTTGCAAATGAACTAGTGAGAAAATTCAGACAAATATTCACCACTGACTTAATTTTGTCAAATTAAATTTAGTTTTTTAAAAATGAATGTCTACATTGCATGTCTCAACGTTTTTTGTTTTGGTTTGGTTTTTTTACATTGTGTTATGCTAGCAAAAAATAATGTCAAATTTAAAATAAAACTTCTGATCACTACATTTGGATTTTCTTTCCAGGACAATTTCCGCATTTTCAAATTTCACTTCAATGTGAAAGGACGCTACATTTCAAGATTTCTACATTATTTCTATCTTTCTAGTCACCTGGAGTAAGAATGAGCCAATATTAACAGTCAGAGAATAGCTAAGAATATTATTTTCTCTCTAAACTCTCAGAGCCATTAACTTGTACTGAGCGTGGACACATTGGTCATGTTGTTCTATATGTCATTAGTACTAGATTTGATTCAGTGATGTAAAGAGGACTGGTTCTATAATTTATGTCAAGTGGACTTGGAGCCAGCCACTTCTACATAAAAAACATTCAATCTACCAATGGAACTGCAGATAATAGAGTATGTTCTTAGTTGAAGATATTTCCCTATAAAGTCAGAAAACTTTGATTATATGTGCTACTTGACAGTAGCCAATTCTAGTTGTAGAAACAATGTTAGTTCAACACTGCAGTTATGAAAAGTGCATCCAACTAGTCCTGTCTTTCTTCAAAACAATGATTAAATTACCAAGGGGAAAAAAAATGCAGCTTTATTACCACAACCCAATAAAAGCATTCTTGGCAGTTAATATTAACGAGGCTCTCACAAGCTGCTGAGAATACAAAATACACAACTCTGAGAAGAGTTTCCCATCTATGTAGTCAGTGTTTCCAGGTTCTCCTTACCCCAAAGAATCTTTTCTCAAACTTTGAAACAAAAATTTTTGAAAAATCAATTTTTTTAAACAGGATATGGCGAAAGGAACTGATATTTTCTTATACTGGAGTTAGGCCATATATAACCACACAACCTCCTGCAAAATTTTATCAGAACTGACAGAGACAGCATACACATACAAGCTTAGTTTACCAGAAAGAAATAACAATCAGCCAAGAGAATCTGTGCAAACTCTTCAATGGGTTAAGTATTCCTTCTGGTTAGAATCACTCTGGTGGTTCTGCAGAAAAATCAATCCTATAAACATGATTATACCAGCAAATCCAAGAAGAGTACTTCACTAAGTCCATAAATACTTGTTTTTCTCTGTAATAGGATGAAAACCACTTTATTTAGAATTAGATGGACACAAGCATACTATGTCTCTATTCAAGAGGGATTCAAATCCGTTATTGTTAAATATATTGAAATAGCACATGAACTTTTAAACTTGTCAGGCTTATAATTGATATAAACACTAGATAGGTATGCTATCCTTCAGAGTCAGCTGATCTGATAAGCACTGAAATTATGCTACGAGACCTAAAATGTGGGTAGGGCTCACTGGTTAACTAGCCAACATGAAAGCAAAGTAATATGATTACTGCTTGTATTAGTCACCTTTCCTTCCACCTGTTTATGTGAAAGATACATTTTAAAATAAATTTCTATCACATTTCAAGTAGTTTGTTGATTGCTATCAATAATAATAATCATGCTTTGTACTTCTGCTGATGCATTTAAAAACCCTGAAAGAAGATCAGTCAAGACTAGATCTAAAAATGTAGACTGTAAATGTACTCTAGCTATTTTTTTATCTACACTTGGCAACTTATACTTCTCAAATTATGAGTAGTATTTTCAAAAAGAGAGGTCAGAAGAGTTAAGATGCTGAGATGCTCTGGTCATTTTAGACAAGTGCTTGTATGACTGAGTTCTTATGACTAAGAGAAATCTGAATTCATAACACATAATACTTAATGTGAGTTCCAAGTTATGCTATAAGTTTTCATTACAATGCATTTGCTGATCAAGATCCTATGGAGAAACCAAGAGTTTGTGTCGGGCATCTAATCTCTTTAAGCTTTGAGCAGCCATGTTTAGATTAGTTTTCACTTGTTAAAATGCATGCTAGAAGGAAATCTTTTGTCTACCACATATAAACAAACAAATGATATGCATATTTCCTTGGTCAACAGTGCCTCTTGAATAATGGGAGTTTTGTTTCCTCATGTTGACTACATTAATTTCAGTTATATCTCCTGTGATTCTAAGGAACTGTTTCAAAACAATTAACTGAAATGAAGCCACATGAAAAGAAAAGAACACTCAGAAATTCTCATTTGCTAGGGCCAGAATTCAGGTATGTTGTCTTACCTCCAATCGAAATGACTGCATTGAAGCACTGATCCCTGAAGGGAAGGTTAAGGTTGTCACACACCAGAACTTCATCACCTTTCTTCCTTGCAATTTCTACAAGTCCTTCACAGTAATCACAGCCCAGATTATACACCTGACTGTTGACACTGAGATACTTTCCAGTTCCACAACCTAAAGAAAAGGATACTAGGTTAGAAGCCATATATTCCAAACATTTGTTCTCCCTCCCAAAGCAGTGAAAAAATATGAGGGCTTTCCTAATCCTAAATTTTCCTGGAAAATAAAATTAGGGTTTGTGCCAACTAGCCTAACTGCTGCAGGGTTCATTTGGACTGTTAAAATTGTATGTTCACACTATTAGGACTGTAACAGTAATAACTTCACAAAAATACTCATTACACAGCCCTGTATAATAGCAGGCTATCTCTGTTTCTGTGGGGAGCAAGGATAAGTGCAGGTGGGAGGAAGGAATGGTCCTCTGTAGCCACTAATGTACATCTTTGACAATAAAAATCCAACCACGCTGCTTCATACTGAGCCTTTATATAGCCTGCTATCCTGTGACTAACAACGAGCATAACTGGGTGCCCAGGAGAGGGTAAGAAAAGGATAAGCATTAAGGCCCCTTTCCCCAGGACTGTTCCAGCTTCCAACTGCTTTCTGTTCAGGGGATTTCCTGAAGCCAGTGTGTTATGTCTTTTCAGTGATCTGCAACAGATCTCTTTCCTTTGCTTAACCCCATGCAGTACTTCTCCAGTGCATGACATTTCTCTCCAAGAAGTCCTAAACCATAAATGCCACTGACACAAGTCAGAGTGGAAAATTTTTACTTTAGATACAGATGCAAAAATAACCATAAATCATAAAATTTATTTCCATATTGCAAGCACATCTTCTTTTTGTCTTTGTGCCGACGCATTATAACCCATGTAAATGTAATGAACTGTCCCAGAATGTCTTCCAACAAAAGTCTGTCTTCTCAAGGACTGTGCTGTACTAAATTGAAATCCCTCAATGCCTTATGCATAACAAGCACTTTTCAAAATTATACTGGGAGCCGCTCACTGCAGCTCTGGGTCACTAGTGAGGAATAATTTCTGAAAGTTGACAGCCAAGCAACGGGGTAGCTGCTTGGCAAAGAGAATCATCTCAGTATTGGTAATTCAATTTAAAGGCCTGGAGTTATCTTTAGAAACATCACTGCTTCTTGCAGTGCTGCTGCTCTCGGTGATGTTAATGTGTACCATTATCTAGAGAGACAGCACAGGAACTATTACAGAACAGAACAACACTTCAGTGGTGAAAAAGAGTGTATTTCTCAGCTAAAAGCAAGCCCTATTCTTTGAAGTAACACTTGAGAGAAATGGAAAATACTAATATTGCTAATGCAGTTCAAGGAATATATGCAATAATACATGAAGCTCTGAATGTTAGAAAACCACATATTTTTAAAATCTGTATAAATTATTATTTATTATTGTGTTTGCAGAGGAACATATTTATTCAACCATCATTAATTTGCAAGATTCAGTTGCTTTCAGGTGGCTTTTGGTGAAGTGCTTTTTAAACACTGTGAGTTTTTGGAAGTATAGGGTCCTCTCTGGAATGAAGCTGAATAGTGTCAATAATCTTAGTATTACAAAAATCTACATTTATCAGAGATTCCCTTTTAAATGAGTCATCAGGAAGATGAATTCCTTCATGAAGCTAACAATGGCCAAGCTATTTTCATGTGTTTTGATCAATGAAAAATAGTAAGGCAAATAGATAAAATGGTATTTTAATAAAAAGTAGTATTAAACTCAAAATTACCAATTATAGATCTAATTTTGAAAATTTTAGTGCCACTAGGCCCTAGTGCCACTTTAGAGCGACTCCTCCTTAAATGCATGCCAAAAGTAAACCCTGTAGTCAGATTCCTGTAGAACTTATTAAACCTCATTGAAGAAGATACCTTGTGTGCCTTAATGGGAATATTCTTATTGGCAACTGTAAGGACTGATCTTCTCTCCACATAAGACTGCACCAAGGTGACCTTAAGCTTTCAGCAACCACTGCTGATAAAGCCTCAAAGAACTTCAGCTAAGATGCAAATTACTTCTATTGAGGTGGCAACAATTCTGGCTGAGAAATAGCAATCTAACTCTCAGTTGAGTGAGTGTTTGCCACAGGATATTTCCGAGATTATTAGTGACAATGGTGCAGATATATAAAAATAGCTACATGATCAAAATAACATCAATCGAGTATTTTTGGTGTAGTGCTCAACAGCAGCAGAACTACATATTATCTTCTGATTATGGCCGACAGCATATTCAAATAATGTTTTTCTCTTATAGGATAAAGCAGATGCATAATTTAACGTGCACATTTGTTAAACCTTTCTGTGTAAAAATATTTTATTAGTTTAAACAGTACAGAAAACATAATGGTGCAAATGAGCATTTGTTTTGCAGGATGTACTGTATAGGACTGAAGTCATAATGCAAGCAAAGGAAACATGCCAGCACCTGGAAACTCCCAGAAATCTGCAGGAGCAACAGAAAATCCAGGTATAAATACTACATGTAGGGAAGACAATGCCATAGCAGGAAAACGAGGTTTTGGTGTCCATATTTAGGGTTATAGGCAGATTCCCAGATTATTATTTTTTTTTTAATATTTTTAATGGCAATCACATCAGAAGATTTCTCTTAATAAAAAGCCTTGCTAGGAGGAGCTTTAGAACAAATGAAAGTCAATAAATTGCAGATTGGTATTACATAAAGCAAGTGGTCTAAAGAAACTGAAATATTAAATAATTGGGCTATTAACATAATTTTTTCAAGAGGGCTCCAGAGGAATGACAGACCATTAAGCCAGTGAGGAAATTGATAGATTAAGACTTAACTCAACAAAAATAAAGGAAAAAAATTATTTACTGTCTACATGATACACTGCCGAAGAATTTTAAAAAGGTATAAGGCATCTAGCATCGGGGCTTTAAAACAATTTTAAACCAGATTTAAACAAGCTAAAAAACCAGTTGATCTGAAGGCTAAATATGATTAACAGGTAAACTAATAAAGCTTATAAATAATCTTTCACGCCCCCTCAAAGAATGGCTTACCTATATCAACAACGAGACTGCCGGGCTTTTGTTCCAGCAGGAAGTTCCGAACACGAGGCCATGCTTTGGTCCGCAGGTCACTAAAGTAGGCAGCTGTATTTTCATACACACTGTGCACATGCTGCTTTTCTAGCTGGGTAGCCTCATGTTCCATCCTGAAAACATCATGAAGATTATGTATAACAAAACACAAACTGTTGCAGCATAGACTTTGCATTTTATAGACATTCATAATTCAGGACCTTGTACATTTATATTCATAAAATTATTACATCCACCTAACAGCATATTTATAAAATAGTCTTTACTCAAAGGATCTGATTTTATTTCGTGAAAGTCAAGAAAAAATGTGAATGTATCACCTCCCCTGTGAAGCATTATGTAACTGCACATGCCTATGCAATAATAGGCACATTCCCAAGTTCACCAATATAGTAAAAGCTTATCTGCTGCAAGACAGAGTTCATATTCAGTGAAAGTGCAGAATGTTTATAGAATCATAGAATAATTTAGCTTGGAAGACCTTTACAATCAACAGTCCAACCAGCTGTGAACAGGATTTTAATAACCAACTTTCCTGTTGTTGCTAATGTGAACAGGCAAACGACTAATATGTTACTTGAAATAAAGCCTGGTCCCTGAAACCTAAGCCCTCAAATCATGCATAAGTGATTTGTGGTTTATCAGCCCTCTAGAAGTGATTAGTTTGCTACAATTTTTCAACAACAAAACCTCGATTTCCCTACTTTCCTTCTTCATGTCTTAGCACAGTATTTTAGCTTAGTGATTCGAGAAGTAGTATCTTAAACTTTACGTATTACCCCTAAGTCATGTAGAAGACCAAGTGGATGCAGAAACTGAATCCCTTCATACAGAATCTTACACCTTCCTTAACATATCCTCTTATCCAAGGACCAACCAGGTCAGGTTTGAATAGCTGATGAAGGCTGATGAGATTCTAATTCAAAGCGTTAAAGCATTCTTCAAACAAATTTAAACTGCCTGTTTATTTGGGAAATATTTCTTCCCATTATTAAAACAAAACTTATTCAATCATCCAAGAGCTCAGCACAGATTAAAGCCTGTTTCCAAATATCCAACAGCCTAAGCAATGTATTATCAAGATAAAATTATAAAAGTGACTCCTTTGACTGCATTTGAAAAGGCCAGAAGCAAAGACTTTAATTTACTTTCCTTGATTTTCAAGTAATATACACTTAGGAACCATAATAAAAATTTCTTCTTTCTGTCACTTTTAGTATTGAAATACATTAGTATGAGAAAAAATATGAGAATATATGAGAAATAATGATATCTATGAGAAAAAACATTTTAATTATTTTTTTAAATGTATGTGTAACAAATAATGTGAGCTGTCACTGAAGCTATTCAACAGACACAATCTGTCCTACACCTGTCCCACAAATTCAATATTTTTAATTTAAAAAATGGGAGTTAATCCCAGTGACTGAAAAAAACCATCTTACTTCAAGTGTGTGTGAATGTTTACAGAATAGTATATAAGGCTTGATCCATTTCACTGGTACTGTGTAAGAGGTGGGGACAAACTGTTTACAATTTTCAGTCTATTCTGACTGTAGTACCTAAGAATATCTCTCTTCAAAACATTTATGTTCAGTATTTTCACAATTCTTACTTTACCTTTTTTCTACAGTCCACAATTTCATCCTGCATTAGCTCACCTTTTACTAGGTGAATATACACATATCCATAAAAATTAAATTCAGGAACAGAATTGTACATTGCTTGTAGGCACATTTTCAGTTTCACTGAAGAGTGAAAAGCTGTAACAGATTGAACAAGAGAAGCAACATAGACTTTAAATTATATTACATGTGCCAGAAGTTATACAATCAGAACTTTTCTCAGAATCCATTTCAAGTTATGCTGTCACATAGAGTGGTTTAGTTGCAGTAATTTCAAGTAAGTATTCCTTAGAATCAAAAGCCCAATCCTTTGTTTTTATTTGACCTTTAAATAAAATAAATTAGGTGTTTCATGTCTCCAGCTGTCTTTTTTCTCTGCCTCAAAACATTCTGTTTGGCTGTTCAACTGCCTAGGAGACCTCTATTTATAAGCAGTAATTCCAAAGACTAACAATCAGTTCTTTTATTTTGTTGCCTGATAACCTCCTTGCTCTAATTTACATTCATGTTTAGTTACTATATGGTTCAATGTATCCAAGTGCTTTATCTTTCCACTTGAAGGTCTTTGTTCAATCTTTGCAGTTGTTAAAAAAACCCGAAAAGGCAGAATGTTTTCAACCATTCATACTGAAGTCCAAATGCTTTTTTTCTCTATTTTCCTAAAATGTCTACATTGCATCCCAATGCAGACTGAGATCTGGCTTAGCTTCCTATTGAATCCAAGACTATCCTTGAACTTTCTCATTCACTGGAACTGATACTGAATCTTCATCTACATGGGACATGCTGGAGACTTCCATGTATTACAACGCAGCATTAGAGGTTATTATTTTTAGATATTCTTAATAAATATTGTCAAGAAAATAATTTGGGTACCATAGAATAATGGTAGTATACTAAAATACAAATTATTTCATGCATCATTTTGTAATAATTTCCATTTCTGCTGATAGCTTATATTTGGCAAACAATTAAGGCACGTGATGAAATCAAACTTGTCAATTTGACTTTCCAGTCAAGATCCATGATACTATCAGGTTTTACTTTGCAGCATGGCAGGAAATGTCCCAGCAATTAACCTTTTTATTGCAATGTTTACAAAACACAAGGAACCTGTGGAGTCTGCCCAGACTTGCAGCTATACCACTTTCACCAAGTATAGTGCCACCAAAAAACCACAGAAAGTTAGACCTATGTAACTTCACAAGCCAAACTCAATGCCTCTATTTCTCTTTCTGAACAAAAACAACCATTACAACTTCTTTGCTCTGAAAGTAACAGTCAGTGCCTCTGTTGGAAATGAATTGTAGAAAACGTTCATTTCATCCAGCTTCTGGATTTAACTTCCTGGATAATTGGAAAGTCTGTTTTGCAAAGTAGGTAATGAAAACCTGTCCAGAAATCCCACTGCTTCAGCATCTGCTCCAGTTCTCATTTAAGCTACCCAGAAGCTGTCTGGTAAGACCAGCAAAGAGAAGAGAAGAGAAGCAGAAGGTGGTAATTATGGACCCTTTTCCCATGCTCAATTCTTCTTCTCTTGTGTTTATGTTCCTGTTAAAGGGCTCATGGAGAGGCTTGGAGCAGAGATGGGAGTGTGCAGTAAATTGGCACTGAGCTATTCAGTCACTCTGCAGCAAGTCTTGCCAAGTCCCTGAAATGTGAATGCTGCTCAACAAACATTCACCTCCTGCAAGCAAGCAGCTCGGATAAAAACTGAAGAGTAGGATCCTCTTCCCTTTCAGTGCTTCCTGGGGATCCTCCTGGTGATTCGTCCATGAGACTACAACATGCCCTTGTTGCAGTTGATCTATTAAATGAGGAAACTGGATGAAAACTGTATTTTCACTTCTGCTGAATTTGCAGGGAAATGGATCACCGGTCCATCACATATAACTGTGACACATGAACAAACTGTTTGAAAGTTAATAGGTTGTAGACCATTGACTTTTTCCTACACTGCTCTTTTCCCTCTTTGCTAAAAAAAAGCCCGACAAAAAAAGCCAACCAAAACAAAACAAAACAGAAAAAAACCCTAAAATATTACATCTTCCAAGAAGGAAAAAGGAATTGTACAAACATGATATATATTTTCATAGCTATATATCTCACTAAGAGTTCTCTGACTCTGAGGTAATCTAATTTCTTCCCTTCCATTAACATTCTGCAACCTTTTAGATAATTAACTTTTCAAGGATACTGCTTTAATAAAATCCATGTTGCTTGGATATTTTTTATCGCTGCTGAAGTAAGAAATACATCTCAGAGTGTGACCTTGAAATAAAAACAACCAAAATTAATAACCCCATTTCCAACATTTTTTTAGAATTATGTTTGGGTTTTTTAGGGTTTTTTTGGGAGGGGGAGCATGTTTGAATTTTTGTTGTTGGTTTTGAAAGCATTTAATTTACAGTGTTGACTAATGGTATGAAATACCCCATCCTCAAGTGGACAAAATACTTGCTGGCTCCCAGATGCTGGGCTTTCCTGAAACTGAAGTGCAGGAGGTAGTGTTCAGTCCAAAAACACTGCCTCTACTACAGTCTACCAAAAGCTTTTCACATTTATCTGCAGCTCTGAATCCCTTGCAGGCTTCCTCACCTACCTCAAATTATCTCCTCCCAGTCACCTACAATTTTCATCTTCCATCTTCTTTGAATTTCTTACATCTTCCTCCATGTCCTTTAGCACGTGCTTTGTCAGCACGTCTATTTAACTTGATATAATACTGTATAATACTGTGAAGTCTTGATCTGGCTCATTTCCAGCTCCTCCTTGCCTTTATATCCAGGCCAAACACAATACCTGGTATACGTCACAAAGCTTTTGTCAAGGGCCTCTTGGAACCACCCTGTAATTTCCCTGCATTGCTCCTATTTGAGTTGAAATCAGTTGCTCTTGATTAATTTGTGCCATAGGCCTTCATTGTCTCCTCTCTTGCAACTGCCTATTTTCTCTAACCCTTTGATAAGCAGCATGAATTCACTCAATTCAGTCCAAGATTTCAGCCTATTAATGAGGGCCCCTCTTAGATACACTCTTTTTCACATGCTGATGGGAATTTTCAATAACATTTTGGGTAAGAAGAACTGCTTCAAAGATCTAGGAAATTCAGCACAGTTGTGTCTGTCTTTGTCGCCACAGCAACATAAATCTTGATTACACACGCAACTCCAGCTATGGACACAATAACCTAATTAATCGCTTAAATGGAACAGGATAAACCACAAGGGCTGGGTCTACATCCTCAATACCCTGCTCTCCAGCAATAATATGTGCACTTGTAGCTGTTAATAACACCTAAGTAAAAGGTGGGGCAGTCCAATCTATATTTCTCCATATCTACAAAACGGAGAATCACTTATTCAGCATGAAATGTTTCCAGTTTGCTTCCAAAACGTATCATTCTTTTCACTCAAATACAGGTAGCCATGGAAAACTAAGTGTACAGTCCCAGTGGACTATAAACCACAGTATTTTTTTCCATGCAA